TCAGATGATACATTTGAATCTTTAAAGCATTTAATCAAAATTCCAATTATTTATTTATCACAAGAAGAAGCAGAAGATTATTTAAAAAACTTTTTAATGTATAAAGAATTATATAATACAATCAAGAAGCAAGGATTAGAGGATAAAATTATTGATAAACAACGGGATGAATTATTTGAAACACTTTCTATTTCAAATTTTGATAGAGAATTTTTGCATTCACTCATTTTTCTAGATGATGCAGTGAAATCAAAACTAATAACAAATGAGAAATCATATTTTAATCAGTTATTAACTCAATGTCGACACATTCAGTGTTCATTCTTTATGGCTGTTCAATATTTCAAAGCATTAAGCACAAACATTAAATCAAACCTGTCCACCCTTTTCATTTTCAGTGGTTTTAGTCGTCAACAGTTGAACGTTATGCTTTATCAAGTGAATTTACCAATGAGCATTAATGAACTTTACACACAATATCAGCAATTAGGTGAACATGGAAAAATAATAGTTGATTTAAATAAAGGAAGTGTTAAATTTGATTAACTTTTTATAATTAATTTTTATTTTTTATTTATAATTAAACATGACAGAAATAGCAAATCTTCTACAGGTTCCATTAAAACAAGGGACAAACAAAAAGGGTGCATATAATAGAACTATGAAAGTTCCTGATGGAATGAAAGAATTAGTTCATATTGTTGCTGGTCTTCAAAAAGATGTTAAACAAATGAGAAACGTTTTAACATTACCAGAAGCTCAAGCATATGCCAAACGTCAAGGTCCAAATTGGGAAGCACACGAAGCAGACATTACGGGTCCAAATGGAAAACCTGATGGTATAAATAAAGTTTTCATTACTGATGGTCAAGGAAATATTAAAGTCATAAATGGTTACAAATTAACTATAACTGATTATCCTAAACGTAAAGCATATAATGAACGTTATCCTATGCAATTTGATGAAAATGGAAAAGCTGTTAAACAATACATTGGAGAAGGTGAAAATGGTCCAATTAATTCATACCGTAATCCATATTCTTATTTCAATGAAGAATTAAATGCTATTGAAGAGGGACCGGATGGATTACCACGATATTCTAACCAGTTTGATGGTCGATATGCAAATATTAGACCTGAAATTTCAGCTAAGAAATTCTTTAAAGTTGCTTTATTCGATCCAGTTTTCGCAAATGTTAAAGATGAACTTAAACAGCAATTCCAACCAATTATAGTAGCAAGAATTGCATCAGGTGCTTTATCTCAAGCATTCAAAGATTTAATTAAGAAACCATTATATCAGCAACGAGGTTTAACTTATGATTTAGTTAAGGAATCAGATAAAAGAAAATTTGAGAAATCAGATGATTATAAGAATGCAATTAATGAATATATTAGGTCTATTAATTACAATGAAACAGCTAAAAATCAACTTCAAGAACAAATACAGGGAATAATAGATTCAAAACTTCCAGCAAAATAAAAGTTTAAATATATTTTTTTATTCGATATAAATGAGAAGACGTTTCACTAGTCAAAAGAACACTAACGCAAAAGCAGAGATTACGGTTGGTTATAACGTAAATGATGATAAATCACGAATTATTCAAAATGTTAAAGTTAATGTTAGCCCTGAATTAACAAGGTCAGCAACTCAACCAAATTTATTAACTCGTGACTTACCGAAAAAGGAGGAGGAGCAAAATAAAGAAGATGGAGACCCAATCATTTTATCTGAACCCGGTAAAGAACCTGTTGAAATTCCCACTTATCCAACATACCCCCGCCTCTTTCATCAAACATCGAGAACCCATATAAAATAGACATTAATTCTGAATTAATGAAAATTTACCGTGATATAATAATTAATAATTATGATTCAATAATAAATTTAATTGATCAATCCGGTTTAATTATTTTACCTTATGAATCATTAATTCACATTATCGCCATTCTTTGTGATGTTCAAGATTCAGACGTTAAGATTCAATTTTTCATAGATGATGAGGTTTCATGCTGCGGAACAGTTGCAAAAATAAATCCTATAAAGGATATTAGCACAATTAAGATATCAAAGAACGGAACAACAACTGAACTTCATTTAACATATAATGATATTTATAATAAAATAGTTGATGAATATAAAATATCACTTGAAAAATTCTTTGTTAAGGCTATTTAATATTCAAGCATTAACATTATCGAATAATAATCCTTTGAATCATAATCAATAATAATTGACCTTTCACCAGTTTCTATCGTTTGTTTTATTTCTTTTTGTTCCCCACTATCGGATCGGTCATTGTAATTGTTTTTGTTATAGTATCAGCTTTATCTTTAACTTCAATCTTTTTTCCATCGGGATATTTAAACCAAAATTCCAAAAATTCGATATTGTCAATCTGTTCATATTTTAATCTATCAATTACATTTTTAATACCATCTGAAAATCTTATGAAATGGTCATTATATGGGTTTGATTGAACTAAATTTGAATGAAGTGAAATATAACCTGTTGATGAATATGACACTGACTCATATTTTCTGAAAACACTAAAATTTATAACATGAATGAATTTCTTATTCGTTGAATTTATGAATTCTTGAGGTAATCTTATTCTAGTTTTATTTATCACTGGAAAATAACGCTTTACCATATTTTTAATCGTAATAAAAATGTCAATTATCAATATTATTTCGAATAATAACTGTGAATTAAATTTAACAGTTAGCGGAATTTATAATGTTACTCTCGTTTCTGTGAGTGGTAAATTTAATCCCATTCTTTTAGACCCTTCAGATTATATATCATTTATTAAAGATGACCATGAAAAAACGTATGATATGTATATAAATAATGTGATAGCGAAATGGGATATTAACATGATTTTAAGTTATTTAAATGAATCATTTATCGTATGGTATGAAGAAAATTTTAAATCAAAACCTGATAAACTTTTTGAACTTGATGAAATAAATAACCTTATTAAATTTCCGCTGAAAATTAAATTTTGTACTCCTCATCTTCGTTCATTGTTGGGGATATTAAATTTTGAAAAAGATGTTGGGGATGTTTTGTATTCTGACACTGGTTCCAATTTCATTTTAATCAAATGTGATAAAGTTAATACCCCAATGAGATTTTCACACAAAACATTAGACCCTAACTCTTACCCATCAATACAAAACATTTTATCCATCAACTTAAACACATTTTCTTTATCATATCCGTTTCAATTATCCGGGAATTCATTTATTCTTCATTCAAAAGATTTATCAAATATTAAATTTAGAATAACTGACCTATTTGATTGTGATTTAGAATTTATGAATGAAATATTATGGCAATTTCAAATAGAGAAAATAGCTGATGAGATAATGGATTAAATATTTATTTTTAAATCGTAATAAATGATTAAACAACAGCAACTTAAGGCGCAAAGCGCCCAGGTCCTTCAGACCATTACATACGCCATATATGCATATAATTCAAAGACGGCAGAACAAACGCAAAGGTTGAAATATGGAGATTTGGAGATAGTATTGAAAAATGACCATTTCGAATTCGTTTGCAAAGGTGGTGCAGTGATATCAAATATAAAAGAAATTTTATTTATGAATTCAAAAATTAAAGGAATAACGGATGATATAACATCAATTCCACCAGAAGAACAGAGATATTACGCATTAAATGCATTTCCTAAAGTTTTGAAGATTGGAAGATTTAATTTAAATGAGGAATTCATAGAAGGTTTCCTAAATGACATAATGAAGAAGGTAGATAAGGAATACGTGGATAGTGAGTTAATGAAGAAGGCAAATTTGGTTTATGTAGATGAAAAAGATAATGAAATTAAAGAAAAGGTTGAATGGTATCATGAATGGACATCGGAGACTTTTAAAGTTAAAGCTGATACAGGATGGGTTTCAGGATGTTTAGACCTTAAAGCAGATAAAACTTATGTAGATGAAAAAGATAATGAAATTAAAGAAAAGGTTGAATGGTATCATGAATGGACATCGGAGACTTTTAAAGTTAAAGCTGATACAGGATGGGTTTCAGGATGTTTAGACCTTAAAGCAGATAAAACTTATGTAGATGAAAATTATGCAAAGAAGTCGGAAGTAAATGATGTGATTGCAAGCATGAAAAATGAAATACTTCAAACATTATATCCTATAGGCTCTATTTATACATCAATGAACTCAACAAATCCAGCAAGTGTTTTAGGTTTTGGTACATGGAAGCAGATTGTAGACAAATTCTTATATTGTACTAATAGTTCAAAACAAGCCGGTGGTTCAAAGAAAATTAAAGAAGCAAACCTTCCACCGCATAAGCATACAGGAACTACAAACTTTTCTGGCGACCATAGACACTCATTAAGAGACCACCCATTATACAACTCAGACTATGAAGCTGGTTATGATGTTTTATCTCCAGCTTATAACGATTCAACAAAAAAGACTTTTCGACAAACTGAACCAGGAGGAAATCATGTCCATACTTTCACAACAAATCCAACAGGCTTGGGTAAAGATTACATGCCACCATTTGTGACTGTATTTGCATGGTACCGAATGAACTAAATATATTTTATGTCTGTAATTAATTAGGTAATGAAGTAGCGGATGAACTGCAGAAATATATTTTATCGTTAATGGTTTTTAGGTTATTCAATAATTAATTATTTTTGAATAACTGATGGTGTCACTACGTCACCATGTCACCAGGTTAATTAACTTCTTTAAAAAATGATGACAACATGACATTTTGACAACATTCCCGGAAATTTATTTTATCATTAATGTTTACGTTAATGTTTCGTAAATGTTTTCATGAATGTTTTCAGTGTCACCACGTCACCATGTCACCAGGTTAATTAACTTCTTTAAAAAATGATGACAACATGACATTTTGACAACATTCCCGGAAATTTGATGCAGCCCAAAAATAAAGTTAGTTTTAAAATTATTTTTATTTTTTTATTCCTATATAAATGACAGCAACAAACAACAACAGCAACTATATCGTTTCTGATGAAAAAGTTATTGATTCATTAGCTGAGGAATTAGTTGTGGCAGAAACTAAAACCCTCAACGAAAGAATTGGTGAAAACAAGATTGATTTACATAACTACCTCAAACATGATGGAGGAAGAGGAAGGAAAACTGGTATGGCTTTATTAGTAAATAAAATTTCAAATTTAACGATTATAGATGTTGATATCAATAAATCATACAATGATGAACTTAAAGAAACAGTTAGAAAAGACATTTTATCAAAACTTTCGGATAAAGATGTTATCGTTAAAACCGCTTCAGGAGGTCTTCACATTTATTGCAACACTAATTTCTTTTATGCAGTTTCGAACAGAATGATTAAATGCTATTCCTGCAATGATTATGATATTGATATCATGACTTCTATGGATGATTCAAAGCGTTCATTAGTGGTTATGGCTGATTCAAGAGTTCGCAAGAATGCAACAGAACCAATCAATACATACTCATTCATTCGTGGAAGTTACGATTCAACATTAACTCGAACAGTAAACGATATATTAAATGATTTGAATATTAAGGTAAGAGTTGAACAGAAGAACGAAGAAATAAAGACTATCATGAATGAAAACAAAGATGTAAACATTGACGATAAACTTGCCCAGAGCATAGTTGATGGTATCAGTGATTTTGAAGTACATAATGACGGTGTAAACATGAATTTAGAAAAAGAAGTTACATTATTCACACTGTTTCAAGCAATTAATTCGTTACCTAATCATTTAATTAATGAAGCATACGATAACGTTTATAACTTCTGCAATTTAACTGAAAATGCAAAAAGTAATTTTGAAAAAGCACGTAGTAGATATGCACATTTAATGACTTCTCCATTTGTTTTAGTGAAGATTCTAAAACTATATCAAAAGGAATATTATGATGAATACGTTTTACCTTTATTACGTAAGCCAAAAATAACATTTGATATAAAACTTGATGACTTGTTTTTGATAACAGATATTAGACGCAAGGCTGAAAATCATCAGTATAAAAACAGTTCTGAAGTAATTGAGGATTTATCACGTGTAATCCGTTTTGTAGATTGTGGAAATAAATATTTCATTCAGAAAGATTACAACATCCACGACAAAATGAATCAAATATCATTCGTTCTTCAATCAAGCATGAAAGAGTCACTCAAAATGATTAAATTATTTAAAGAAGAAGGTAAAACCATAACAGCATGGGATGTACTATTAAATCAATTGTCTTCATTAACCGTTAAGGGTGTTTGCTTTAAATCTGATTCCCCAGATATTTTCTCAACGTTTCAGGGTTATAAATACAACGTTCTCGAAAAACCAGATTACTCAAAAATTGAGATGTTTATGAATTTCATTAAAGAAGCCATTTGTGATAATAACGATGAAGTGTATAAATACCTTCTCGCTGGATTGCATCAATGATTCAACATCCTGGAATCAAGAATGAAACAGCAATTATTTTGAAAGGACTTCAGGGAACAGGTAAAAACAGATTTACAGACATTATTTCTGAACTTCTCGCCGGTTATTCATGTAAAAACATTACTGAAATAAGTGAGCTAACGGGTAATTTCAACTCAGTAGTTGAGAATAAAATGTTTCTTGTACTTAATGAACTCAAGAATGTAGGTGAAGACAGACTCGCAAACTTCAACGCTTTGAAATCAATTATTACGGATAATGAGATTAGAATTAATGAAAAGAATCAACCCAGAAGAACTGCTCAGAATGTTGCTAATTTCATTTTCGTAACTAATAACGTTTACCCTGTCAAAATTGAAGTCGGAGACAGAAGATACGTAGTTTTAAGAGTTAATGGTAAATTTAAGGGTCAATTTGATTACTTCAAGAATTTAATGGATTCATGCACAAAGGAATTTTATGATAACCTTTTAACATATTTTATGCAATATGACCTTTCATCATTTAATGTACGAATCATACCGATGACTGAAGCCAAACAAGATTTAATAGAATTATCAACAAATCCTTTAGATGTATGGATAAATACACATTATGATGAATTGTGTGCAGGTATGACGTGTAAAAATGCTCTATGCTGCAAACCATCAGACATGAAAGACAAAAACTTTCAAATGAGCATTAAGGATAAATGTGATAGGAAACAGAGAAGAATAGATGGTAAACAAACATGGTGTTATGTTTTGAAAGAAGAAATGAAAGGATTATATAAACAGGTTGAACCAAACGATAATGAGGATTCATTTACTGACGATGAAATACCTGTAAATGAAGCTTTTAAAGTATGATTTGAATTTATTTTTGCATTAATCCTGCTGTGATGTCAAAATGTCATGTTGTCAGTAATTTTAAGAGAAGTTAATTAACCTGGTGACACATGGTGACGTAGTGACACCTTCAGTTATTCAAAAATAATTCATAAATGCCTTCCTCCTTTCGTACCTGTTGTCAAAATGTCATGTTGTCAGTAATTTTAAGAGAAGTTAATTAACCTGGTGACACATGGTGACGTAATGACACCATCGTCTCGAAGAGACGTTGTCGAAGAGGAATAAAAATTAAATTTGGATAGAGTTTAAAAATTCATCTTTATTAAATTCATCTCTTCCAATCAATTTATTTATTCTATTAAATTCTTTTATTTTTGCTTCACTCAGTTTAAGGATTGAACGGTAAGTTTCTAATTTTTCGATTATTTTCTTTCCTCTTTTATCATTCTCAGTTCCTTTAGTTTTATGGGCATCAGCCCCACCGCATTGCGGTTCTTTTTGTAATAGCATATTTTTGAATTAATTCTGTTTAGTTTCTTTTTATATTCATTGTCTGGACTCTGAATCTTAATTGAATCAGGACTCTTGGCTGCTTTGTTGTCACTCATTTCTTACGAAATAAAAAAATTAAATATTATTTAAATATAATGGAGTAATAAAATAAATCGGAATTTCTATTAATTTATTGTCAACTTCAACTAATGCATTGCCGTTAATATATCTAATAAATTCAGCTATTGTGTCAAATCTTCGTCTTCTTTTTGTCATTGATTTATCAGTTTTTCCATAATCGAGATGAATCAAAACTTTATCCCCTTGTTTAAAATTCATGAGCCCCGAATTAATTTGTTCACGTTTAACATCATTTAACCTTTCCATTTGCTTTCTAATATATTCCCATTCTTTTGAAATATCATTTTTCATTTCCACTGGTTTCATGTTTATAGTTCTATGCCATGTATTATTGTAATAATATACTAACTGCTGTATGATGGAGTCATGATTTCCATCCCAGTATATCCGACCGTTAACCCCTAACGCATCTCTAAGAGTTCTCATTACCGCATCAACTATTTTATTATGAAACGTATATGGAGAGGATGAAAAGTAAAAATTAATTTGTGGGAAATAATGAATCATAGCTGCCTGAAATCCTTTATCACCATCACCCCTGATATTATCTACTCTTTCATGATCTAGTAAGTATTGTATAGCTCTTCTTGTTTCCTGTTCTGTTTTCCCTTTCACTGGAATGCAATATAAATATCTAGTGTTAATGTTAATGGCAAATAAATAAGTAACGTTTCCTTTTGAATATTCCAGATGATCGATTTCGTATGAATATGGATATGGAGCAAATGAAGGGCGACTAAATTTTTCCTTTAACGGTTGAATTTTCGGGTCAATTGGTTTATTTAATATCTTGAAATCCTTTTTAAAATCTTTTTGCTTCTTTAATGTTTGAAATGGATATAATAAAGTGAATGATGAAGGATTAACTGAAGGAGGAGGAGGTACTACCATTGGAGGTTTTGGTGTTGCAAGTGGTTTAATTTTATCTGCTTTGATTTTGGATGATGAAGTTTTAGATTTCATTCCTCCCTTCATTAATTCTGGATGTATTCTATTCATTTGTTTTAAATATGCTGTATATAAAGTTTTGATATACTTTCCCGCTTCGAGTTTATGTTGAAGGATGAATTCCAAAAGTTGATCTTCATTTAAAAGTCGGGCTGAATATGATTTAACTAATGAATCATAAATTAAAGCTTGTGCTTCATTTATGGTCTGAAGGACCTGGGCGTTTTGCACCTTTTGTTTTTGTTCCTTTGGTTTTTGCGGCTCAGGATTATATAATTTATATAATTCATCAATATCTTCTTCTGTTAATACTTTATTTTTGAAATCTTTCAACTGTTTAAGTTGTGATTTAGTTTTTTCCTTTGTATATTCATTATTTTTAATTTTGTCTTTAATTTTAGAAATTATTTTATCATGATATTTCAAAATTTCATTTTTATAATATGGATAATAATAATCCATATCATCACCCGTTATATTGTTATTATGTTTTTGGAGATATGATTTTAATTCATAATAATTAAGAAAATTTTGATTAAGTACTAAATCATAAATTAAATTTTTTAAATCCGTGTTACCCATTTATATAAAAATAAAATAAATGTTTTAAGGGTGCCCACCTCTTTGAATCATAGTATCAAAACCATTATTTACATATTGAATCGCATCATTAACGGTTCCTTTTGTCTCTTCTGTGGCATTTTATTAAAAATAAAATTTTAAATTGTATTAAATAAATGGCATACAACATCCATTTTCACAACATACAGCCTTAGTGTGTGCTCCTGTTAATGCAGTCTTACCCATTGTTAAGCGAGTCATCAACCCGTTTTTAAGTTGTAAATTAATATTCTGACCATCGAAAATAACTTTATCATTTATTATATCCAAATAATTTTTAGGTGTTAATTGTTTATTTTGTCGTAAACTAACACCTTTCATTTTTTGTGCAATCTTTTTAAAATCACTTCCATCAATTGAACCGTTGAATGATGTATAACACTTAGGGCATAAAGCAACCATGTTATCACCTTGTTTCTCAATTGCTAAACCCAATAACTTCTTCTCATGTGCTTTTTCTTCAGCTTTATTCTTTAATTTAGGTTTAAATTTCTCATCAAAACAGAAGAAATCAAATGGTGCGAATTTGAAAATGTTTTTATCATAAAATTTTTTATCGGTTACAATCGCCTGAAATGCTTGAGTGTTAGGAAGATTTGGGTCGCCAGCGATTGCCCAATAAGATGAATCAGTATCACCTTCAATGAAATGAAAACGATTAACATCCATGCATTTATACATAAAATCATAAATGAAAACTAAATACCAGTATTTTGCGTTATCTAAAGTGAAGAATGCCTCTTGTAAACATGTATCACATCTATAAAATCTATCTTTAAGCATCACTTGATATGTATCTTCACCTATTTCTCTTATGTTTTTAAACTTATTTGACATACATGCAACGCGTGCCTTCTGTGCATTCATTATTTTAGTCTTTGCGTAATTTTGTGTATTCATTGCATCGTAACCATATGATCCATTAAGTGAAATCTTGCAAAATAAACTTTTTCCTTTATTTCCTTCTAATTCAGCCTTTTGTCTTTCGTTCATAAATTCGTTCGCAAATTCATTAAAACAAGTGTTTTTCGTAAATGTTAAAATTGATTGAATATCATCGATGATAAAATGAAATCTGTCTATTAGATACCAAAGATAATAAGAAGAAAATGGTTGATATTGGTTGTGTGTTGATGCTAACTGAGTTAATTTCCTCTGTTTCTGGTCAACTGGTAGATTGTTTGATTTCATGTAATTATACATAAAACTGCCAATTGTTTTTTCATCTGTGATAATATCTAAGTTTCTTATTATCGGTAAAAAGTTTATGTAATCATTAATGTATTTTTCATCAATGTGACCCTTTACTTCAGCCACGAATAAAGTATTTTTCTTCTTAATTATTCCCAGTGCTTTTGCTTTCTTTGTTGCTGTATCACAAATGATAACACCATTCAATCTTCCCGGCATATACATTTTATGGTCAGTATATTGAATGAAATCATGAGGATTAGATGAAAATGATGAAGGATATAATGAATTAAAATCAACACCAACGAAATGAGTCATGATGTTGGAAGTGTCCTCATTTGATACAGTTTTAGTTTCTGGACTATATGAAAGTTTATTAATGTGCGTGATTCCTTTAAGATTTACTCTATGTTGAACATTTGAAACCACCAGTAATTCCATTACGGAGAATGTGATAAGCTTCAACTGAATCTAAAGTCATTGGTAAATTTTTTTTAATGCATAATTTCTTAAATTGATTCTTAAACGTTGAACATCTTCATCTTTATTTGATTTTACGACATTGCAATAACAACACATTAACTGACAATTTTCTTTGGTATGTGGTTTTTCATTATCGATTCTATCCAATGTTGGTTTATTTGCATATGTAAACGCTTTACCACACATTTTGCATTTAGATGAAAGGATTAAATCGTGATAGTATTGAAAATCATCCATTGAAACATTATTTTTAGTATCCCTTTCTGCTTTTTCATCTTGTTTCTTATATGATTCAATTTTATATTTCCAATACTTTTTCGTTAATTCAAAACTTGATTCTATCTCTTCCTCAGGATATTTTTCATTAGGATTAAAGTCTTTATATGCTAAAGCGTAACGAATCATTGAAGCATTCGATGATAAAGAAAGATTATGAAGCATATCAATTTTATAAACAAATGTTTCTTCAATAATTTTATCGATTGGGTCAATCATAATTTCAACATCTTTATTGCAATAATGAATAAAATATTCTAATCTATTCTTAAAATTTTTAGCATCATTGAGATATATTTGATAATCACTATCTGATATAGTTTCTTGAGTTAATGCTGAATAAAATGAATCTTTCGTGAATGGTTCCTCTTTATATAATTCTTCTTCGTAATTTTCCCATGTATGAATTGATAAGGGAAAAAGGATTTAACACGTGATTTATTGTTTCCGAAATCTTGAGTGAATTGGTCTAATGTCCCACCCGCTATATAATTTCTGATGTCAATAAATCTCAATTCATATGGAACGTTTGTTTTCTTTACAATGATTTGCTTAAATTGTGAAGATGAACCCAGCATTGATTTTATTTTCCATTTTGCAGTGTTTAAATCACGAAGAATTAAATTTAAATCAAACTTTCCCGAATTAAAACCTATGATATTCACTTTATTGAATTCCTCATCTAGAAGTTCTTTAAATGCTTCCTTCTGTTTTTCATTTAATGTATGGGACAAAGTCCCCGCCGTTTGCGACTTCAATAATTCATTGTATTGTTCATATTTGATTAGCAACTAATGAACAGGTTGAAAATAAAAACTCAATCCAATCAGAAATAAAAGAATCACTCGAAGTTAAGCAAAAATTCCTCGTATATGTTTTATCGTTTAATTTAACGTTGATGATACCATGAATGGTTTTAAGTAAGCGTTCAAAGTTGCACACTCAGAAAGTTGTAATTCTTCTTTAGTCTCTAATGTTTCAAAGTCAAAAGTAATATAATATCTTGTCGGTTGATAATATTCTGCAAATTGTGAGCTAATAACCACTGATATATCTTCTGTTTCGTAATATGTGGTGCATATGGTTGCTGTGGGTCTTTTGCAATTGAACGTCTTGAATTAATCTCCATTATTTTCTTTACATTTCTCACAATGCTTTAAAAATCTTCTTTGGTTTTTCCTTTCTGGATCATCACGGATAGAATAAACTTCTTCTTTACAATATGGACAAACTTTATAGCCGGTGAGTGCTTCAACGTCTTTATTCTGTCAGCGTGAAGTTTTCCACATGGACTCTGTGTTAATAAAATATTTACTGTTTCAAATTCTGGATCTATCATTATTGATTCCACTAATGGAAAGTCTACCTTATTTATGTCCACGTCTTCTGGTTGAGGATCACAATAATAGAAATCAATATTAACATTTAACATTCTGCTAATCTCTCACTTTCTGATGAAATGTCAAACCCTTCATATGCATCTATTGCTTCATTTAAATAGCTTCTACGAGTTTTAGGATTAACACCATCAGGAATGTTATAGAAGCGTTTAAATAACCTTCTACCTTCTGCTCTAATTTGATTATCATTCATTTTAGCTGTTCCGTTTTTGTTCATTTATGTAAGAATAAAAAATTAAAAAAAAAGTTTATTTTTTAAAGCCCATAAAATGAATTAAGAACACATAAATTTTTATCATCTGCGACGTGACGAATACATTTTAATTTACTCAAGAATGCGTACCCTGATACATTAAATCTAATTCCTGTCTTATTTAATTTCACAACTTTGAAAAGGAATGTATGAATAGCTATAAAATGATGAGAAGATGTTTTATGGGTTGCTTCCATTTTTTCTGAAATAAATGAATAAATATAATGCTTATACGTTTTCATATCTTTTATATTCTTAATAACGAATGGTATAGACCTTTCAACTTCGTCATCCTTCGGTGCTGTTCTTTCATATGAAACATTATTGGTATCTTCAATAATGAAACCGCAATCACATAAAATTTTATATGTTCCAATGGTTTCTTTTGATATTTTATCTAATAAATCAAAAACTTTATCAACACCTGTGCATTTATTTAAATAATAATTTGTGTAAATATCATGATCTTCTTTCTTAATCGTATTAGTTGCATACGTCACGTTTTTAAGAGCTTTTTTGAATTTCGGAATCTAAAGGTGGTGAAAGTAGGATACAGGGGTATCCTTCATTATCAATAAATTGTAACTTATGTTTACGAATAAATTTAGTACCTTCTTCTGAAAGTGTTTCGTCTATTTCACCATCTAATAAATTTTGTGTTGATTCTGAGACATAATTTTTATATCTTTCTTCATGAGATTTCTGTACTTCTGATTCTGAAGCTGGGATATTCATTAAACCCTCTACTTCATTTTCATTATATTTTTCAACTTCTCTTAATTCCTTAATTTTTTCATCTATTTCATCTCTTATTTTTTCCAGTCTTTCAATTTCATCGTATTCATCATCTTTAATTCGTTCTTCATAAGATTCAGGGAAAACATCAGGTTCTTTAGGTTTTTCTTCTTCAGATGTGGGATATAAGAAATTTATAACATCATCTTTATTCATTTTTCCATCATAATCTAAATCATTTAATAACTCGGCAAATTTTTGACAATTTCTTAAATAATATTTATTAACTTCATAACCTACCTCCTCTAATATATCCATTATTTCCTCATTTGTGAATCCTAATTTTTTAACGTTGTTAGTTTTGACGTTCATTTCTTACGAATTAAAAAAATAAATTATTCAAAAATGTAAGACATGAATTTTTAAAGTTTATTTTTAAAAAAAATTTTTATTTCATTATGGTAGTGAATCTTTTACTCGTTTATGAGGTCTTTGATTATGACTCCATTGATTCCATTCAGGATTTAAACAATGTTTAATTAATCGCGGAATATCTGACATCATCTATATATAGCTTCTTTTATAAAAGAATAAAAAATAAATTATTTTAAAATTAATGTTAATTTTTTAAATGATTTATAAATAAATATATTTTAATGCATCGTCTATATATAGATGTAACAAAAAAAGTCACTAAACCCTTCAACATATACTACTTGTAATATCTGAGAAAATCGAATTTAAATATTCATAGAAACCCAAATCATTCTCCGGTTCGAATAATTCATCTGTTGCTTTTTCTGTTTTTTCTATGAATTTTAATAATTTGATTAATAAATCTTCATCAGGAAGAATTATTGCTGCATTTGTGATAAAATTCCATATTGAGGTAATATGGCAATAATTACATTTATAAAATGTAATTTTATCCAAAATTTTTTGGCAAATTCGCATAATAGCATTAATATTTGAAGCTGAGATTAAACCTGTGATTACTTCTGTAACTTTTGGAAAATCATCGCAATTTAATATCTCTTTATATTGAATTGAGAAATAAAAAAAATCAAATGGATTCATTTCTTCAATTTCAAGGAGATTGTAAAAATTGATAGAAGTGTTATTGCAACAAATTGTATTTGCAGCAAAAAATATCATTTGCTCGATTCCATTTTTGGAATAAATTTGCTGGAACAATGTTAAATTAAAACAGTTGCTTAATTTTTCTTCATTGTTTTCATAAAAAGTAACAAGTTTGCAACTGAAATTTCAAAATTTTGATAATTGCCAGTTATTTCAGTAAATATATATATTTGCTTTTCTTCATCTAAAAATGGCAAATATTGATTTGCAATATTAACTAAAGTTTGGGATAAATTGTTCCAGTTTGATTTTACAATTTGTGAGCACATTATGTAATATGTAAATTTATCCGCTTTGTAGGAATTTAAAATTGTTTGTTGTTCTGTTTCAGTTAAATTACTGAATTTTTCAAGATTAATATTGTGATAAAAAATAGAATCCTTGAAACATTCTGATATCTTTTCAATGTTTAAAACGGATGCTAAAAAATGTAAAAGAACTTCATCAGTCACTGTGATTTTTTTGAAAAATTTATCCCAATTCAAGCATCCAATTGATCTTTCTGTCATTGTACTTATGCATTGATAAAGTTGATTTAATGAATCCGAAGAATAATCATTATGCTTGACTAGTTGAGTTAGTTGATACAGACTGTCGTCAGCCATTTTAAAAAAATGAATAAAATTGTATAGTAAATTATATTTGTGAAATTTGTGACGCTACATTCAATCTAAGACCAATATCTCAAAGAATTCCTCATTTAAGTATTACTTTTCATTGTTTTTTAAAAAATATCTTTGCTTATTTGTTCACTTTTTTGACATTTATTATATGCTTTTTATCATATTTCCGATGATATGAATATATATTCTATATAAGAATGACGCTACATTCAATCTAAGACCAATATCTCAAAGAATTCCTCATTTAAGTATTACTTTTCATTTTTGATTCAATTTTCGAACGGTTTTCGTAAATTTTGCATCATTTCATTTTTTAATGGGAAAATCATCTATATTTAATCAAAAAAGAGCAAACTTTACAGACGAAAATAAAATATTTATCAGGGAACAATCTGATAAATACCAAAAATCAACATCGAGAGATGAAAAAACGAATATAATCAAACAAGTTCTTCAATATTTTAATATTAAATACGCCGAAAATGAATCTAAAGCTGTCAGAAGATATTTTAGTTATATTGCAGTTAAAAATATTCCCGCAGTTACTGGAAAATATCCTGATACAATTGTTCGCAAAGATATGCTTTATTCGCATGATCATACAAATATTATTAATTCAAATAATATTGAACGTTACTACCGTTGCATCGATCATTCTTGTCAAGCACGTTATTTAGTTAAAATTGAGAACAGTTCAGTTTCCGAAGATTTACAAAAGGAACATATACCCGAATGCAGACAATTTAAAAAGTTACAAAATGAAAAAAATGATCTTCATAAATCAATGACTCTGACAGAAATATACAATAAGGCAATGGCAAAATTTTCTGAAGACAACGGCACTTTTCAGCAGATTAAAAAATTTATGACAGAACTTGCTGTTGGTACTGATGAAAACCCATTAATTAAAGATTCATTGGTCAGGGAAGTTTATAATAAGTCCAGAAAATTTTCTGTTGGAGAAAAAATTACAGACGATGAAATTGCTAATTTTTTTTAATAAATGGCGAGCAGTTTTTCATTGGCCATGATTTTCAAGCAAATTGTGAGACGATGTTTTTTGGTTTTGAGAAGGCAATTCAATTTGCAAAAGAAGCCACAGATTTATTTTGCGATGGAACTTTTAAAATTACACCAAAACATTTTCAAAAAGGACAGATGCTAACAATTATGATTTGTGAACCTTCAACAAATCAATATCTACCACTTTTATTTATATTCATGAAAAACCGCACATTTGAATCTTATAAGAAGGCATTTGAATATATTTTTACTGTCAAGGGTATTCAATTTTCAAAGCTAATTCAAATTCATTGTGATTTTGAAAAGGGAATGATAGAGGCACTTCAACAAATTTTCCCTAAAGTCCGTATAATTGGATGCCTATTTCATTTCAAACAAGCTTTACACAGGAAACTTGTAGCACTTTATACAAAAAATTTCAATACTTTACAAAATTCTTTATTTAAGCTATATTCTATTACTCCATTCATGTCTCATGAAGAATTTGTACTTACAATGCATATAATTAATCAAAATAAAGTTGATTCGATCAAAGATTATATTGATTATTTCAACAAAGTTTGGTTGCCGCACTACAATTTAATATCTCAATATAATAATGCAACTGCAATATTCACTAATGATTGCCTCGAGAGTATGCATTCAGAATTTTCTTCGTTAAAACATCCAAACATTTATGAAGCTATTAAGAAGATATCTCAAATCCAATTAGATAAATATAACGCCATCAAAAATAACCAGAAGATCGAGCGCCATATAAAAACCGTTATCACTGATAGCTACAAAAATTATATTCTTGACTGCTTTCAAAAAGAACTTGAGAAAACAATTTTTTCTATCAAACAATACAACGTAAGTGATCTTTCTTTGGCTCAGAACGAGATTTCTCCATATGGTTCCATAGAATCGAGTTCATTGTTCGAAAATATTCCAGTTCATGATGCAGATATACTCAAATCGATCGATCTAACAGATAAAGATACAATGATCACTAAGTTTATTAATGAAAAAAGAGAAAAAATTATGGCATTATTTAATGAAACATTAAATCATCCAGATTTTAATTCATCCACTCCAATTCAAACTAATTTTGAGCAAGCCGATACAAATCAAGGTTCAGATGCTCCAATTCGCTCCGAAAATTCAAATATTGCAGACTCTACAGATTTAGAACCAGAAAATCAAAACCATCCTTCTACAAATCAAATGTCTAGTAATCTAGAACATAAGCTGGACCTTCTTGATCATATTGAAAAACAATTATCGAAAATGCGCTCGTTATTGGGAATTCTTCCTACTACAAATGCTATTGTTGGGCCGTCAAAACAAGTTTCAGTTAATAGCAAGCAAAATTCTGAAAAAAATAAGAAAAAATCTTCCATAACAACAAAATCAAACAATAAAAAACAAAATTCATCCGACAATCCTCCTAAACGTAAAGCTCCTATTTCGGAAAGGATTCTCAGCGATAATAACTTATATTTTCAAGTTCATCGAAAGAGATCGAAAAGCAAACGTTCCACATCTACAGAGAAAAAGAATTGATATATGAAGTCTAATTCCTTTTATAACTACTATATTTTTATTCTTATGACTAAAAAATAATATATTATTTAACAATTTTCATTTTTTTCTTTTAACAATTTCGTTTTATTTCCATTTATTGTTAAATGATTTTTAGCATACACCTTTCTTTGTTCATCTTCTAAATACAATTTATTTTTTCTTAGATATAATTCTATTCATTCAATTCGATCGTCATTTTTCAGTACATGATCGTAATTTTCAATTATTGATCGCGATTTTACTTCAGAATTTGTTCGCAATATTGCTTATCAAAATTATATCTCTATTCTCTCATTTCTGTTTAGTCAATATCATTACACTCCTATTGTCTAATAACATGCTATTAATTTTCTTAAAATTAAAAAAAATATCAACTTTTAAAAACAGAAACTTAACATCCTTAGGTCAATGGATTTAAAAAAAAAAAAAAGGAAGTGGGGCTTCCAGGGGCTGCGCCCCTTCTAGCCCATAAGAAATTTTTGTTTAGATTAAAATTAAAATTTTTATTCTGAAATGTTTGCTTTAATGTTTTTTATGGATGGAAATGAACTGGATATCGTCTGAGTCTTCGCTTGTTTCCTCCTCCTCTTCTTCTTCGTCCGAATTGTCTTCATCTTCACAATAACCAGATAAGAAGATGGTTATTTTGGTTTGTTCTGGTTTTTTGAGAAGCATTTTGGCTGTGCCAGTAAAAACGAACTCAAGATTTTGATAGAATTGTCTGCTTGAGTGAGTGAATTTGCATACTGTAAGTGGCATTGCAACTCGGTTTGCTTGAACAGATATTATTGAAACTTCTTCTCCATCTGGTATCCGTTCAATAATATCTAAAGCGGCTGTTGTTATAATATGCATATTGTTTTCGTAATGCAATTTTGGATATATTTCGAATGGATGTGCAGCTACACCAGCTGGAGCAACAATGGAAAGATTCCAGGAGAAAGAACCGTGTTTGTTTTCATCTTCTTTCCAATTGTAAGTTAAAGGATAAGGACGAAAGTCTTTGAGTGTTTCATATAGCTGTTCTCTTAAGTTTGGTTCACAGCAAATAATGAATTCGTCAATTGCTTGAAGAGATATCATAGTTGAAACATAAGGCAAATTCGACAAGAAAAAGTCAACCATTACTGTCGGGTTTTGAACTTTGTTTTCTAATGTTTCGACTGGTTTTATTATACTTTTGAAATATCTATCATAGTCATTGTTGTCTGTTAAGGACAAATTGTTTGGATAATCTGCAATGAGTCTTCTATATCTTGCTTCTGTTGTTGAGAATGAGAAGACACCTTCTGGTTCTGTAGGAGTGTAAGTTTTTAGTTGAATTTGAGCTTCAATTTGTGTCTGATTGGAGTCTGATTGGACTGAAACAACTTGAGCTTCTGTAGTTTGTTCGACTTCGGCAGTTTCTTTTGGTTGAATTTGAGCTTCAATTTGTGTCTGATTGGAGTCTGATTGGACTGAAACAACTTGAGCTTCTGTAGTTTGTTCGACTTCGGCAGTTTCTTTTGGTTGAATTTGAGCTTCAATTTGTGTCTGATTGGAGTCTGATTGGACTGAAACCTGTGTAACCTCTTTGGACATACTAGTAAAGTATGAGATATAAGTGTTTGACCTTTAAAGAGCTTTTGTAAAGAATTGTCAGTCATGCTACTACTGTGGTCTTCCATTAGACAAAAATGAACTGTTTTTTCGGAACTCATAGAAAAGTTTAAAATAAACCGTTTTCGTCAACGGTAACCCCCTCTATTTTTTTATTTTATTTAATAGTTACCGTTGGCAAACCGTTCCATCTCAAATATTGAATGAACTATAAACGTTTTTTGTTTTCTATATATACTTTTTTGTCCAACGGTAAAACTTTTTACACAACGGTTTTTGAGAGTCGTCGCCGTTGACTTTTTTGTAGAGCACTCAAAATAGTATAACTTTGTCCGGACAAGTAAGGGTCTATCGTCGCTACAGGAAAAGTTACAGGCGTTCCAAGGAAGTATACTTTGAGAAGCCTTTTCCCTTATAGAATGAGATAGGACGGTTATTTTACAAAACTGACAACACTTTGACCGAGTAGTTTTTTGTGCTGAACAAAAAGTGTCATATAAACATCTGTCAAAAACCGCTTTTTAACTTCACTTAAAATGCCACGTAAGCTACGTAAGAATATACGTAAGAGGAAGAGAGCATTGAAACATCCAATAGTAAAACTGACACCACAACAACAGTTGCAACAACAAATGATGAATGACCCCACTATGTTGCAACAAATGTCAAGCAACCCTATGCTTTTAAACCGAGTTATTGGTGCACAGAGTGGAGGTTTAAGAGCGGCACTTTTAGCGAAAATGGCAGGCTATGGTGGAGCTGCAGACGGAACAGCTATAACCCTCAAAGTCAAATGAATTTGAGTTCACTCAAAAATCAAATAACAGATGTCAAAAAGTCAAACATAGACATACAGAACAAATAAGTGAAAACGAAAAGAAACTAGAATATGACAGACACACAAAGAAACTCAATGAGTTAAACGTAGAGAAAAAGAAGAAAGAAGAACAACTGAAAGAACTAAGTACAGAGGAATATGCGAAAAAAGTGTCAGAAAAAGCAGCAGAAGTAGCAAGCAAAAATGGAACAAGATGTTATAAATTTGAAAAACCATACTACTCAATATAAAGTACTGAAAGATGAAGAAATAAAAAAAAAGCCCTGAAGACATATATGGATAGCGATGAGTATAAAAAAGAAGTTGAAGCAAATGTAAAGGCAGAAAAACTTTTACAGTTGCAAAACCAAACCGTACAGTATGAAAACTTAGCACAAGAAAGTAAAAATAACGACGCAGCCATGCAAAAGGCAATGAAAAGCGCAGAATATATAAAAGCTAATAATGACTGGTTAGATGCCCAAGCCAACGCTAAAGCAGCCCAACTTATAGGGTCAATAAGGACAAAAAATACAAGCGGATGAAGACAGTTCAAATGAAGCTTTAATGAATGCTGACTTTAAGAACGCCTTCGAAGCTCTTCATAGTAAGGTGAAACTAGTGAACGACTTCTCATCTGGAAAGAAACTGAAGTCTGAAGGTTTCGACAAAGAGTTAAGAGAAGTAGCACAAAATATGACGAAAATAACAGATGCAGCAACGAGACAGGCAGTTCAAAGTGCCTATGACGCCGTTAGAGCAACTGTTGTGGAAAGTCAAAAAAGAGTTACAACAGACCAAAACAGACCTAGTAAATGCTTTCTTAAAAACGAAAAGTCAGGTAGGACATTATGCTGCAGATGGAACATATGTGCCAGCTGGTGGAACTTATATACCACCAAACCCTCCAAGAGAAGCACCTGCACCAGGACTACCTAAAACATTTACATCGTCACATGGACACAGACACAGGCATGCACCAAAACCAACACAACAACCAACAGTTCAAAATCCAGCACCACAACAACAACCAAAACAACACACAACACACAACCAACAGCAAACACAGCAACCAACAGTTCAAAACCCTGCACAACAACAACCACAAACAGAGCAAGGACATAAAAGAAGTAGAGAACAAGGAAACCAAGAATTCTTAAAAATGCTTAAAGAAAGTATGGTTCCCAGATACTATTGACTTTAGTGACAGATATAAAGAAGCTATTAGAAAGTTCAAGGAGGAAATACTGACCCGAACCTATTTAGCTTTATGGCTCAGCACCAAAACGGATATAATTCAAACCTGGAAAATACAAGCTCGCTAAGGGATATGATTTAATAGCATATCATCCAAATGACATGATGAATTTACTCCGAGATATTTGATGTCAGAGCTAAATGATAATTCAACTTCGTCATGAAACGCGTAAAAAATAGAGACGGAACGAAAGAAAAAGGCTTATGAATGCGGATGACGTAGATAGGGAAATTGTTAAAAACGGTCTCGGAATATATGAAATGCCAGCAGATGAGGTACAAGAAACTCCACAGGAAGAAGTTCAGATACAACCAGACATGGAAGAAATAGTTCAGCAACAACAGCTAGAAGAGCCTGAAGGAAACGAACAAGTCCCTCCTTTGGAAACTAACTTCACAGAACTAGATGAAGATTTGGAACAGCCGAAAAATCTTGACCCTCAACAAGAGTATGCGGAGAATATGGAATATTTCCAAGAGTCTAAAAAAAATTCGGCTGACATAGTAGAAGAATATCGAAAAATGTTTGCCGACATACAAAAGACTCCAACACCAGATGAAAATATTCAGCATAGAATGGAAGAACTGAAAGAAAATGTACACAAATACAACAACCCTTTT